TGCAAATGAAAAATGTTATATATATTAAAACCGATCCAACAAAATAAAACATTTTCTTCCATCAAATACAACAGTAGTGAGTGATATTGGCAATACTGAAAGTTTTCTAAAATATCAAGTGTACAAAAAGGAAAAACATTGCAACAAGTTGGGGAGGTGCTATGTGTTTATTAACTAATCATTCACATTATGTGCAATACTGCCGAGACAATTACATCCCAGCCACAGTTGCTCAGTACTGATACCATGTGTCAGTACTTTAATGAGAAGACCTTCCTGGCAAAAGATTTGCCCAAACTACACGTTACTTTATACTGAAGACACACTTTCAGTCTTCTTTAAAAGTACAACAATATACCAGATTTTGTAATAGTGCATAAATACTAGTGCTAAATTGCACCTTACTTCCACCTATAAACATTTCCGTGCATAGGGTACCGTTTTTACTTCAGAACTACAGTACTATGTAGTAGTAGTGATAATGTATACATACTGCAAAAGCATGCAGCCAAAATGCCCAAGATATCTTCTGAGATATTTTCCTTAAGCAACTAAAACCACAACTGAGGTGCCAGATATAACGCAGCATGTAATCGTAAAATGGTGAGGAAAAAAAAGTACACAGAATATGATATATCAAACCCAGGTCAGTTTTATAACAGAAGGCACAGAGTCATGACACGATTGCAAAACAGCATAGCAAAGCTTTTCAGGAAGCCCCTTAAACAGACAGAGAGGATTTTTCTCTCAAAGGACGCCGCCTCGTTCCTTGAGCTGAATTAGTATGACATGTTCAGCTCCAACAGGTAGCGAAGGCGACACTGGCTCTCTTTGTAGATAAGATATTCACTGTTGTAGAAGGAGCTCTTTGAGAACTGGCTCTGTTGAATGGCCTTACCCTGAGGTACAGCAACTTTTTTGCCATCCAGACAGATGATGATGTCCTTGGAGGGATCTGAAAACACAGCAGTTAACTTTGTCAAACAAAAGATGCTGAATCATCAAACACAGTGTTTTCAGTTTTATTATTATTGGGGAAACTAGTGACTTAATGAACCAAGTACAGTTCTTGGAAATGCTATGATTTCCAATGTGAACTCATGTTTCATGCATGTTTCCAAAACCCTACTAAATAAATAAAACTTAGTACCCGGTTCCACTGTTCCTCGTGCCACCACAGAATCATAGCCTGCAGGAGGCTTCTTCAGGGAACTGTTGTCTTTGGTGATGGTACATTCTTTGCCAAGGGCTACCTCACTCAGAAACATCACTCCAGTCCGTTTAGAGGTGCGCACTAAATACACACAGCAACAAAAAATGTGATTAGCAAACACCTTATTATCATTATAATTAAAAGTGTCATTATCTTTTTTTAGTCTTTTCATACAGCCTCACCATAACTTGCGGACTTGCTGTTTTCAGACGCGAAATAGATACCGCTGCCGACACGGCCTCCTGAATGGGGCATTATTCTCAGACCGTAGCTGCCACCACTGCTATGTTTGTGCCATGCCACAGCAGACGACGGTTCTCCAGTTTATCATGTTCCCTAAAGCGCTGTCCCTGCAATGTGCAACATTCAGCACGTGTTAGATCGCAGTACTTCAGCCATCTGTATTAAATTAAACAAGACTGACTCTGGCTCCTACCTCAGTCTCTCGATCAACTTCCCAAATATTGACAATCTTTGGTTCATTAAAGTCACATGACGTCTCTTTAAGGTATTTTGCTATTATCTTTAAATGGAAAAAAAGAGTATTATTCATACACAAGAAGACAACATGAATGTAAGATGATCTGAAACCAGTCATGACAGTACAAGGCTTTGTATTTACTGAGCCTTATTATCACTTATGACAGTACCTTGAATGTTCCTGTACCCTTTTCCATTAGTGTGAGCTTGCATTTCAGAGAGTTGTAGTCCTGGTCTAGAGGGTGAGGAACTGTGTCTATCATCTCTTCCTGAGCCTTCTCAGTCTCTGACTTCAGAGTCTGGGCGAGCTCAATGTCTGCCAGCACCTTTTTGGAGCATGTAAAATAAAATGATGGTGACTTTAAGACTGAGAACACATCACAGAAAAACAGCTAATTCCAGCACATAACCTGAAAAAAATCTAACCATAAGCATCTCTTTCTTCTGGTCCACAATCTCTTGGTTGTCGATGGTTGGCGGTCTGTTCCGGCCAAAGTTGTGTGGGATTGTGGTAAAGAACTTTGAGGAAAGTTCTTCCAGACATGATCTTTTGCTTTTTTGGTTGATGGCTGCCTCGATTTCCTCCAGTACTCCAAAGCCCTTTGCAATCTGCAGCTTACTGAGCTTGCCCAAAGGCATTTTCTTGATGTCTGTACAACATCCACACAAAAATAAAAATCTCAACCAGGCAAGTTATTGTACTGTTTGTTTGCATTAAGGCATCTCACACAGTGTTTTTTGCCTATTTAAAGGCACAAACTGTTTCTCTAGCGACTTCCAAATAATAATTGTTTTAACAAAACCCATCACTGATCAATTATGTTCAAATATCTCAGATAAGGAGATGTGTTGTGTAAATACAGACTTCACCCCTTGGTAGTAGTAGGGGTCACTCATTTACCTGCACCATTCTGCATTCTTTCCTGTACTTAGCAATACCAGAAGTCAAGCTAAATATACTATTTTCAGATGATCACCCTGTTCAGTGCAGCAGGCACTCTAGTCCAACTGGTATGTGACAGAGCAGGTATTTATGCACACTGATCTTTTGCAGACTACCAAACCTGTTTGTTTTGAAGGGCAGGTTCACTGAAACACACCCACCTAAGTTCATACACTCCATGGCCTCCTTGAACATGTCATTGCTGAATATGAGCTTGATGAGGTTCTTTGTTGCATCGTCAAGGGTGCAAGGCTGGACATTTTTTGAGACTTTGACCGTCTTTCCATCAATACTGTCCACCTGGGGTACAGACAATAAAAGTATACACAGTGAAATTCCTTAGCCATGCCACCCTAGCTGTGCCAGCTCTTGTCTGAGCTTAGAAGTTGAGCAGGGCAAGGTCTGGATATTACATGGACGTGAGGCCACCTGGGAATACCCAGCCACTGGGGTTGCACAATGGCAAGAAAAAGTATGTGAACCTTTTGGAATTTCATGGTTTTCAGCATTAATTTGTCATAAAATATGATCTGATCTTCATCTAAGTCAAGAGTACTGACAAATATAATGTGCCTACAAAAACAACACAAAAAAAATCTGATCTTTCATGTCTTTATTGAAGACACTCATTCAACATTCAAAATGGTAGTGGAAAAAGTAAGTGAACCCTTTGTATTAATAACTGGTTGACGCCCCCTGGCAGCAATAACCTCAACCAGACGCTTCCTGTAGCTGTGGATCAGACCTACACATCGTTCAGGATGAATTTTAGCCCATTCATCCTGGCAGAACTGCTTTAGCTCCATCATGTTCTTTGGACGTCTCATGTGTATGGCTCTCTTCAACTCATTCCATAGCATCTCTACTAGGTTGAGGTCTATGTTCTGACTTGGCCGCTTCAAAAGGCAGATTTTGTTTTTCTGAAGCCATTCTGTTGTGGATTTGTTCCGGTATTTTGGGCCATTGTCCTGTTGCATCACCCAACTTCTACAGAGTTTCAGCTGATGTACAGACATTCTCACATTATCCTGAAGAATGTTTTTGATACACTTGGGAATTCATTTTCCCCTCAACGACTGCAAGCTGGCCAGGCCCTGATGCAGCAAAGCAGGCCATCATGATGTTTCCTCCACTATACTTTACAGTTGGGATGATGTTTTCATGATGATATGCAGTGCCCTTTTTACGCCAGATGTAGTGCTGTGTGTTCTTTCCAAATAGTTCAATCTTAGTTTCATCAGTCCACAGTACTGCTGCCAATACCGCTACTACACTCTTTTGCAAACTTCAGGCATGCAGCAATGTTCTTTTTACTAAGCAGCGGCTTCCTTCATGGTGTCCTTCCATAGACACCCTGCTTGTTCAATGTTTTACGTACTGTAGCCTCATGAACATAGATGTTATCCGGTTCCAATGATGCCTTCAAATCTTTGGCTGTCACTTCAGGTTGTTTCTTTACCTCATTGATGAGTCTTTGTTGTGCTCTTGGGGTCATTTTGACTGGGCGCCCACTTCTTGGTAGAGTAGCCACAGTCCCAAAGTGTCTCCATTTGTAGATCGTTTGCCTAACTGTAGACTGGTGAATTTCTAAATCTTTGAAATCACTTTATAACCCTTTCCACCTTTATGTAAATCAATAATTCTTGAACGTAGATCTTCTGAAAGCTCTTTTTGACGATGCATGGCTCACAGAAGCATACTCTTCTTGTATGGAGCAAACTCAAAAAGGTTTGAGTGTTTTTTATCAGTCAAAGTAGCTCTAGTCCACACCTCCAAACTCATTTTCTTAACAAAACTCCAGGTATGCTAACACCTGACTCCAATTAGCTTTTTTGAGGTCATTAACTCAAGGGGTCACATACTTTTTCCACTAGCACTATGAGGTTTTTATGGTTGTTCTCAATAAAGATATGAAAGATCAGAATTTTTTCTGTGTTGTTTTTGTAGGCACATTATATTTGTCAGTACTCTTGACTTAGATGAAGATCAGATCACATTTTATGACAAATTAATGCTGAAAACCATGAAATTCCAAAAGGTTCACATACTTTTTCTTGCCACTATATATGTGCCAATTTCAAATCTTGATAAAATGGGTTGTGTCAGGAAGGGCATCATGTGTAAAACTTGTGCCAAATCACATATAAGGATCCCAGTAATCCACTATGGTGACCCCCAGAAGTACAGGGAGCAGCCAAAAGAGGAATGGTGAGATTCTGATAATCCACCAAATGTTTAAAATATCTAAAACACCATCATTTTCTTAAGTAAAATATTCATGTGCATTGCTCCTTGTTCTAGTGAGATGTACATTACCTTGACCTCAGCATCTTCCTCTCCATCCACCTCGATAAGCGTATACTTCCCAGAGTGAGACACAAAATTCATCCGATCACTCCATTTGTTCTTTGTCTTGTCCTTAAACTTCTTCTCAAAGTCCTTGACGGCGCTCTCGGGCTTATCAAACACATTAAGTTTGGACTGTCCCACTTCTCCCTGAATTAAGATGAGAGATGATGCAATCAGGGGAAATTTAAATGAACAAGGGCTGTGCAAACTGTCGAAAGTCCAGATGTTAACACAGCAGAATATTAAAAATCACCAGTTATGCAAATGATACCATTCATTAGGATAATTATATTGAGCAAATAATAACCACAGCAATAATTTAAGTCACTGGCCTGTGAGCAATTAAAGACACTTGTTTAAACAGGTCGTTTAGAACATGCAAAGCATCCATATACAAATCAAACAACAGGAACATTTATCTCAATTAGATGCTTTCATTCCACTGTAAAAGAACAAGAACAGTAATTAAACATTTAAAGACAAAACAAACGAAACAGAGCAAAGTAACAAAGGGATATTGTTGGGAACATGTTGCCAGATGAACTTACCACTCTACCCCATCTGTTCCACAAATAATATTTGTTGTTTGCTTCAACAACTTGAATCACATAGAACTTATTATTGTTGTGTCCAACATTTGTCTGATTGAGCATGCAGTCGTAGTCCTCATACACCTGTGGAGAAAACAGAACATTCTTCACAATCTAGTTTACACTCTGAAGGCACACAATTCAGTCATTTGCGCTGGTAGACGTGCGACTATATGAGGACAGCGCATCTCTCTTACCTGTCCGCAGGTTGACAGGGAGCAATGCTCATCCACCTTCTTCTTGCCTTTTACCTGTGGCCCTGCAGCCAGAAGGGCCTCCTTTGCAGAGGTGAAAGGATCCTTGGACTCGGTTGTTTCTGGCTCCTCTTTCACCTTCTTGCCCCCTGCCCGCACAGCAGAAGCAGCCCGTCTCTTTGGTGCCATAATGCCGTGTGAAAGCCCTGGACAGAAGGCTGCTGTGTTAGTCACTGGACACCCGGACAAGCTCGGACATGTCCACACTTGCCTGCTGCGCAGGCCTCATTAGAACAAATTAATTCTCTCTACATGTGCTCACTGTGTGATTACCAACCTGCTACTGTATACTGCCATGAGTAATAGGAATTATTAATAGTAATAGTTTTTATATGTTTCTGAACAAGACAGCCAGAGAGCCTCCGCCCACCCCGGTCTATCCCGAAAGAAAGATGTGAAATCCCCGCAGCTGGCAACTCACCTTCTTACTGTAAATGGTGTCGAGAGAGAGAGAGAGAGACTGAGAGGAATATCAGATGGAAACACGGCGTCTCCTCTCTGATTTAGCAGAAGATGAACTACACCGGACTTACTCTGGCTTTCGGGAAGTTTACAATCGCCTTACAGCGGAGGAAGAGGTGGAGTCGAGCTGTGCGGTTTCCTGCTACTGGAGCGAACGAGCACCGCCACCTGCTGGACCGAAACCGCACCGCGTCCACATCGTCCACACCATCCGCTGGCCCCTTGAATCAAACATGTATTATAGGCTAACACTTTCCAGGAGGGGTACAAGTCATATGCGTAAACTCCTGCGTGACTCGTGGTGATTTAACGCACGACTTACTGCCAGCTCTATCACGAGATCTTGATATTCAAGAGTAAACGATCGAGTCACTCTGGCTTTGTGTGGTTAGTTCAGATTTAATAGATCATCAGTTAAGGAACATTAATTCACATTTACTCCATACATGTAATGGATGTGCCACCAAATTAGCTGCTTCTAGTCAGACAAAGGTTCATGTCAGACCCCTGTATTTGATCGGGAGAATAGTTTTTATTCTAATGCAAATATGAAACTGTGCTGTGCAAAAATACAAGTTGTGTAATATGGTAAAGAATAATTAAACCAGACTCATTTAGCAGGTGCAGTTGGACAGTACTTTTGTTAAGGGCCTTCTTTAAATTGTGCAGTCAGTTTTTCTAACTTGTAAATGTGACATACATACAAACAAACAACTGGGCCATGCAGAATAGTGTTCTGCTTATAGAGAGGTTGATCAAATGCATGAAATGAGCCACTGTGTTACTGGAATGCAGCTAATCTGGTGGCATGTCAGTTAATGTGTAAAGTAAATGTAAATGAACTTTCCTTAATTGGAAAATAACTCCTTAACTGAAGAAGTCTGTAGTAATCACAGAAGCCCAGGGTGACTTGATCTTTTGTTAATTAATGGCCAGTAACAGCAACTTATGATGCATCTTGCAGTAACCCATGCATTATTGTAAATCGTCCTGAGTCATTAATCAGTTAAACATTACTTAAGCATATGATTTGTATGTTGATGTTGTATAGCTTCACTGTACTGTTTGCTATGCTACTGTCAAAGAAAATATAGTAAATTCTTCTTACAGTGCTAGAATACTTAACAGATAGGACCAAAATTAACCACAGTTCAATTAAAATCTATGAATTGTACCTGGTGTAATCTTAAGACCAGCTCAGGATTTATGCTGTGGTATTTTAACTTGTTAAGAAACACCCCATTTTTGGTGCACAAACCCCAAATGGAACACTCATAATAAAAAAGTTTCAAATCCTGAATCCTAAGGACTGCATTTATGTCCCTGGTCTCTTATGAAAGGTAACATTTTGTGGTTATTATTAACTCAGAATTAGCCTGATAATGAACTTACAGAGGCACAAACTCAATATTCAGGGGCCCTTTTCTTAAACCTTTACACCCATCTGTTACACTATCACATCTACAAGTTGTTGTGGTACATGCTATCAGTCTGCTTCCACCATAGACTCCTTTTTTCACTGTTAGCCCTGGGGCTACATGTTGCAATGTGCATGGTTAGATTGAACAATCTGGACACAAGATGGCAGTGTTAAATCACAAATACTGTACCGATACATTTTCCAAAGCATCTGCCTTATGTACACAGGGCCATACTGCTGTGTGTATTCCTGGGACAGCTTTGGTGGATTTGATCCCACATCGGCAGATGATGATATTTGTGCTGGTAATTTTCATGTACAGGCTGTTTGGTTTTGGCAGATGGTGGAGAGTGAAGCTGATATAATATATTAGACAGCTCAGATTTCAAACCCAACCTGAACTCCAAATGTAAATTGCACCAACATCATCATATACTGTCTTTTAAATAGTTGGGGAACAAAGACTATCTGGATTGCAGCTCTTGTACATAACTCATAAGATCTCATAAGATTATACATCACTTTCAGAGCTGTGGCTTGGAGGATGGGGTCCATTTATCACATGTCTGATAGTTTAATCCCAGGCTCTTTCTCGCCACACGTTGAAGTGCCCTCAGCAAGACCGTGAGCCAAAACTTGCTCCCAATGGCCAGGCCAGCATGTTGCAAGGCATGACAGGAACAGGTGAATGGAAGCATAAAGTACCTGAAGGTATAAAGGCTGTAAAATGCTGCAGTATATATGTGTTAATTCATCACATTATAGATGTTTAGCTGTTTGCAGCAGAGGGCAAGGGTGTAAATAATATAAAATGGACAGTGTAGCCTGATAGCATGTTTGGCATATTTGTGCAGGAAACTAAGACTATATGGTTTACTCCAAGCTGGACAAAGCTATAGCTCACAGAATGTTTGCATATATTATCCACTAGAATATGTGGCCCATGAAGCTGTGCCAAGACAGACTATAAATCATGTTGGTATTAATAAAAAACACATTTTATTTACATAAATTACAATAAAGCACAAACTGGTTCACCAAAATCTACATTAAAAACGTTTTGTATATATTATATTTAACAGATTTACTATAATTGACTCCATTGTTTAAAGATTCTTCAATAAAAACATGGGCTATATGCAGCTTTATTGGCACCTTATTTGAGTCAAAAAACGAAATAAAACAATTGGTACATTTTACTCACAGCACTTTGAGGACAACAAAGTCAGGACAATCGTCTGTGTGACCTCTTTAATATCTGAGACACCTGATTCCGGACTAGTGGTTATATAACTGTGTTTACATTGCCCGGTGGCCGATCTTCACAAGGAGGATGTTGTGGAGTCCACCACCTCTCGCCCATTACACACTGTTGGAACAACGTTGGAGGCGGATGCTGCAAAACATTTTTAAAAAGTTCTTCTGGATTATACAAATAGATATTACAGATATTAAATATATGAGATGTGCCACAAGTCCCTGCCATCCCTTTTCCACTGAGCCCAAAGGACCATGTGAATTAACAGGACGATAGTCAAGCGATGACTTATGTACAGTTAAGTGAAATCTGATGAATTGCACTTATGGAAGTACAGTATGTGTTAATATTGCATTTTCCATTGTTTTCAGAAACAATAGCAGATGCTCTCTGTCCTCCAGTTACACTTTCTTCTGATTTGTAGACATAAAAGGTTTATTAATTTGTCTGGTGGAAGTCTTAATGAAACAACACAAAACTGGACAAACTGTTAAGTATTTTTGATTTGTCTGATCTGAACCATGCAGTGGTGGACAGTAACTAAGTACATTTACTCAAGTACTGTACTTAAGTACAATTTTGAGGTATCTGTACTTTCTGTATTTTCATTTTCTGTTACTTCAGACTTCGACTTCACTTCATTTCAGAGGCAAATTTTGTATTTTTTAACCAGCTACATTCATTCAGTTACTTTTCAGAATATACCATACACTGTAATTGGCAAGCTTTATTGATTCCTGGTGAGAAATTCATACGCTACCCAGCAGTAGATAACGTCATTTAAATGATATTATAAGCAAATTACTGTCTAAGCATATAAGGTATGTATGATGATAATAATGATAATAATATGAAGTATTTTATTATTATATGAAATAAAATGTGAAATGTGCTATTCTGCATAATAAGTACTTTTACTTTTGGTATCTTTTGATGCTAATGCTTTTGTACTGCAGGACTTTTACTTGTAACAGAGCATTTTTCCACTGTGGTATTACTACTTTTACCTAAGTATAGAATCGGAGTACTTCTTCCACTACTGGAACCACGCGTTAGAGGTGTAACAGAAATGTGTAACACTAGTTGTAATGAATGAATAATGTTGTATATCAGGTGGCACCTTGAGAGAAGCTGGAGCCTGGGCCAGTGGTGACACTGAAGCGGGTAGTGGCCACCCTATGGGTGCAGACGTTCTTCTGCGGCTGGAACAGGATGATGTGGACCTTGGGAGCAAAGAGGCAGCCCAGCACCACCGACCCACTCAGGCTGACCGAGATGCACATGGTGGTGGTCTGCACCTGGGGGAGCAAAGCAAAATGGGAAATTCACTTTCAAAAACTAAAGCCATGATTAGGTGGCAGGTTCTTACTCTTGCCCCTGTTGTATATTCAAGAGATGAGTTTATGTCATATATATGTAACACTCACATTTCTATTTTGCCAGTGTTGAATCCCTGCCTCCAGTATTAATGTTCACACACAGTCGCAGTGTTAATTCATATTAATATATTTAGTGATTTTTTTTTTTAACATTAATAATGTTTATGGAAATGTTTGTTCCTCCATAAAGCTGATTGCTGTTCAAGAATATTCATTTTAATAAGGGGCTCAGAAGTCACAAAAGAGATGATAAGCACACCTTTCATAATTCAGGAATCAGGATCAAAGCTAGGTGCAAGAGCGGAGGACGCTATCAGCTGGAACTGCTAAATATGACGTGTTAAGTGATCTGTTTATTTGCTTGTCAATCAACTGCTCAACCATCGCTGCTTTCTCTTCTCACCCTGCCCACATCTTGTTGTGTGTCATCAGTCTGCTCCCTTATTTCCAACCCTCTCACAAGCCTTCTTTTTGTTTTTCCTGAAGACAGGATGCAGCTCAGCATCGTGCGGTGTGTGGCAGGTGCATTTCATTTTCACAAGGCACAGCAGGTGTCTGGCATCACCCTGAATGCTAATGTTGGAATTAAAATAATGTGGGCACCAGGTATCCATTAGTTTAGGCAGCAATATAGCCGAGAAGCAAAGTGTTTAATCATCTTACATAAGTGTTTATCTGTTTGTTGCCCCAACTGAATGTGAAATGACTGAATCACTGTATTTTGAGAGGTACTGTAGGTTGCCAGTGCTGTAATGAATTCAAAGTTAAGATTCACCACATGCCACCTCTGAAACCCAGTGCACACTGCAACGCACTCAGGTCCTAGATCGACAATGTACTTTCACCAAACATTACCATTTTTCTTTACTGTATATTTTGACTGCATATCTGGATACATGGTATAAGGAGGCAAAGTGACAGTTTATACATGATAATCTGACCAATACTGAAGTGCACAGAGGCTAAATGTCCTCTGCACAATTCAGAAATTGTTTTGAATAAAATCGCCCACGGTACTGCATAGGAACAACCTGTTAAGTGATTTTAATAATTCATAAGATGATGCTTTGGAAGAGCAGAGGAGAAGGAATCCGCTTCTGTGGTGATATTTTTCCTGATGGCTCTTGCTCACGTGTGGACAGGATGTAGACATGACTACTGCAATGTCTGCTTGTCTCTGTAAACTGTTGTTTTTACTGTGTTTGTCCTTTGAAGTTAAAACTGTATTTCACAAATACAGCACTGATGATTTGTTCCTCCAGCAGAGATGAGATTTTTCTTTTTATTGGCCCTCGTGCTACACTGTACATTTATTGAGATGCTTTATTGGATGAACGAGGTACAAGCGTGTGTAGCTCAGCTGGCAAAAGCCGCTAGTAATTCATTGAGAGAGACCAGTGTGTGATTTGACAAGTGGAATGAATCTGTTTGTTTGTGTGTTTTTAACCTACTGTGTACCAGACCCCACAGGTTTTATCGGCTGGTCTAAAGAGAGTAATGCTGTAATTATATTTCCTCCACTAATGCTGGTTTATTACTATATTTCCTCAAAGGGCTTTACATTTTGCATTTGGGCACTTCTGCTTCGACTCTTATGCTGAGTCTGATTGTGGTGCTACAGCTGTTTGCACAATGTCCAGTATGTGACAAACAACATCAGTGGGCTCTAGAGGGAAAAGACTGTGGCACTGAACTGGTGTAATGCCAGTCGAACAAGCTCGACTGACAGACATTTGATATATTTAGTAAAGGTTCCTTTTAAGACGGATCTTAAAATGACCAGGTAATTTTGTAAAAATCACAGAAGACGCTGTTCTGCCTTTCAGTACTGTCACTAGCCTTCAGTGTTTTCGCTTATGCTTGCTGCTGAGATCCAGCCCCTCTCCCTCAGGGTGTGGAGAACATCTTCAATATTTCCTCTGTTATTCATGGCTCAGTGGATTGCATTTAGTTGAACATATGACGACAGACCACAATCAAATCTGTATTTGTTTGACATATGCAAAACACTGTGATAGCAATATGAGAAGTGTAAAATTAGGAGAACACTAGTAATATGTCCCTGCCTGTGAAAAACTCGAGACACAGCGCCAGCTCAGTTGCTCCAGCGCTTATTCATCGGTCAAAGGGGAGTTTTGCGTCTATCTGATCTGGCTGTGAATCACTCATGCCACCTGGAGGGCCTTGAGGAAGGGTTCCTCTGAGTCTCGCTGCAGTCTCAGGACAGAGGACACAGCTGGGACGCAGCAACCCAGTCTTTCACACTCCATTCCACACAGTTACGCACAGGGACACACAGGGACATCCAGTTCCCTTTCAGCCCTCATGTCTTGCCTGCCCTCTCCATGTTTCTGCAGAGGCGGCTGTGTCGGGGGATTCCTCCGGCTATTTCTCCCCTCTGCCTCTCTCTCTCCCAGACCTCCATGATTCAGGCCACCATTTTCCCTGAATCTATCCATCTACTGTGTATCATTTGATATTCGTTTTGATCAATAATGATATTATAGAGACAAATGCTCTAAGGTCATAATTGATTCTTCATAGATACTGTATAGAATAAATAGATTTTCACTGGGGATTTAGATGCAAATTAGAGGTAATGTTTAAATGAAGTGGTTTGAAGTAGTTTTTCTCTGGGATTAATTTTAGTTGTGGTTGGAGGGATATGTACTTTGTTAACATACATTTCATAATGCCTTCCTGCCATAAGCTTTTACTTCAGGAGAAATGTGAAGGTGCTGCTGTGTCCTTTCTCCATTTCTCTTATTAAATTTTGCTAAAATTTTAACCTTTTGTTTATAGAATACCTTGACAAAACACTACTTAAATTATACCGCCACTAGAACTGGAAGATACTTAGTAGTCTGCACGCTTCTCATAGACTTGAGCATTCATATTTCATAATTTATTTTCACTTCATTAATATTTAAACTTAAGGCAAAACAAGGCAGTCAAAATTCTTATCTTGCTTGGCACCTGACAATCTTAAGTGTGAAGCTAATTATGAAGAACTAAAGCAGTGCAGTAATAAACAATATATATTCCTACGAGCTGCAGGCAACACAGCCTGATTGCTGAATCAATGCTAGCTGACATTAGTTTGTGATTTCATGCATATAAAATTTAAACTCCAGAAAAACTCATTATCTGCTTGGATGTATTCTGCCCAGATTAAGAACCTAAAGCCACCTGAACAAATAATTTAATACACGTCGTTACCACAGCATGTACTGTATGTCATATAGAAAATGTAGTGATTGTCTTACAGGACTACATGTGCACACTCATGAACCAGTTATAACCTAGCTGAACTCACCCTGTAGTCACTGGCAGTGACATAGAAAATGGGCTGGAACGCCAGCCAGATGATGCAGGTGGTGTACATGGTGAACCCAATGAACTTGGCCTCGTTGAAGTTCTCTGGGCATTTGCGAGTCTTGAAGGCGTAGACTGTGCAGAGAATAATGAGAATGCAGTTGTAGGTGAGAGACAGGAGCATGCTGGAGTCCTTGCTGTTACACTTGAGGGTGACCACGTCTCTCCTCTCCGGACCCACTTCCTTTCTCACCCCTGGGGCCTCCACCAGCAGCCATACCACCACCACTACCAGCTGGCACGAGATCAGAGCACCGCAGATGGCAACCTGGGAGGCTGGACTGATAAATCGAGGCCGCTGCGCCCCGTCCTTCACCCCACTGAAGATCCGAGCGATGCGATTGGTCTTGGTTAGCAAGGCTGAGTAGCACACAGCAAACGAGGTGCCTAAGCCTAGTCGGCGCAGTGTACACACTGCTGTAGAAGGTTTGGCAATGTAGATGAAGGTCATGCTATAACACATCACCACTCCCAGCAAAAGGATGTAGGAGAGCTCGCGTCCGCTGGCCTTCACCACGGGGGTCTCATTGTGTTTCAGGAAGAGGCCAATGACAAAGAGAGTACACATCATCCCTAAACAGGAAATGGTGACAGGTCCTATGGCCCAGGCATCTTCCCAGTGGATGTACTCCTCAGGCAGGTCGTAACAACCTGTCAGGTTGGCCAGGGGCCACTGTCCAAAGCTGCAGTCAGCACAGGTGAACTCATCCTGCAAGTACTGGTAGGACTGACAGGGGATACAGATCCAGCAGCACACATCTCCAGGCTGCATGCTCTTCACCTCATTCTTCCTGCAGGGGTCACTGCACTGGGAGGTGGGGGCAACCTGGCCAGCCCAGGGGATCAGGCTGGTGTTCAGGATCAGGCTCTGAGCCCAGTAGCCTACCTTACGGTAGACGTAGCTTCCACCCTCTTTGTGATAATGAAAAATGTTGTAACGGCCGAGGCTGTCTCCATATGCGTCAAAGCGTACAACATTGTCTGTGTCTGGTGGTCGAAATGGTGCTGAAGATTAAAAAAAAGGAAATAAGAGTGAGAAAGTAACAGGTGTACAGGGGTCACTGGATGAGAAGTGCAGAAACTCATGGAAACGTTCAAAATGAAAGAGGAGCTAAATGATATGGGATAGAACGGGAATTCTTATCAGTTGACACATTATCTAGAATAAGGTTCTGTGTACTAAAATAAAAGATCACAGACCTTTATCCTGATTGTATTGACTTTACTAGAAGTAGCAGTGCAAGATTTCTGCATACCTGGTCAGGGTATAGGGTACTAAGGGTGACAACTAACAATTATTTTCATTATCAAATCATCTGATGAATATTTTCTCATTTCATTGATTAACCATATGTTGGAAAATAGCGCACCTGACTGCTTGCTAATTCCACTTATCATTTCAGCTCTAGTAATCTGTGGTTCCAGAGGTGGAAGGTAACTAAGTCAACTACAGTTACACAAGTACCATACCTAAGTACAATTTTGAGGTATTTGTATTTTACTTGAATATTTTCATTTTCTGCTACTTCATACTTTGACTTCACTACATGGACAACTTTAGTTACTAGTTACTTTTCAGAATGACATGAATAAAACAAATTGCAGTATCATCATAAGACCTTATGGATCCCTAATGTAAAATCCACAAGTAACAAAGTACTTCAAATTCTAAGCATGAAGGGTAGTTCAAATTAGCTCCACCTTTACCGGCTGCAAGATTAAATGTGATGTTCACAATAACACATCAGTAAATAGGATATATGTACATGGATTAATTTGAACTGTGCTCTTCTGCATAGTGAGTGCTTTAACTTTAACTTTTATTTTAATGTTAATATTTGTATACTTTTACTTAAGTAACATTTTGAATGCAGGACTTTTACTTGGTACTGATACTTTTACTTACTGTAAGTAAACAATCTGAGTACTTTTCCTACTACTGTGTGTATCATAAAACATATGCTTTATAAGTATAAACACACATTAAATAGATTGTAAAGTCTGAGGTTTTTCAGTACAGTGTTTCCATAAATTGAAGGAGAAGACAATGTAACGCATTTACTAAAGTGAGAGGATCTGAAGTGGCAGTCTATCATTTGTGATGTGTGGATATGTTGATGCAAATGCTGTGACACATTTTGTGTAAACAGCAGTAGGAGAAAACAAGTGTTCTCTCAGCATGAAGAGAAGTGGTGTATCTGTGTATCTGCAGTGTTCAAACTGAACAACCCTTGCTGCATTCACATTTAAGTCAAGCATGAGGATGTGGGAAGAGTTTCATCTTTGCAAATTGAATCATTACAGAGCTTATCTCCAGCTGCAGTGTATAAATATGTAGAATTACTCCTGCACTATTGTCATTTAATATTTTATATGAATTGGTACAATGGATCTAAATTGATATAATCCAATTAGGCAGCATACAGTGCAGAGTGCAGTTGGGGAGATTAAGTGATACCACTGTATACTGAGGTTTGTATTGGTGTTTATACAGATGACAGAATGATGAACATAAAGAAATCCCTTTATATTGTGAGAATTAATATCCTTGAAGCAACACTGTAATGATAATAACTGATCAAGATTTTGCTCACCATCAAACTTGACCTTTAGAATATAGTCCCTGTAAAACTTTCTTCCATTGCCAGGTTTAAGAGCATCACACACCTTGGTGGAGTTGGTGCATAAGGCCTGCTTCATGTTATGTAAGGCAGTAGCCATCGCATAGACAGCGTTCACTACAAACATGATCTTGGATTCAGGTTGGAACGGAACTTCACGGAGCGAGTGCTTTCCACAGCTCAACTCGTGAAGGCTGCACTGGAACTGGTTTTCCCAGAACTCTCTGAACCACGGATTCCTGGTGTTGTTGTACGGGTGCAAGGCAGTGAAATACTCATTGAACTGGGGGATTTCATAGGAGGCCAGTTCAATGGTGAATGCCCCGTCTGCCACAGCCTCACTTCCCCTCACCACACTCTCCTGCGCTCCCCACCCATCACTGGCCACCCAGGTGAAGGTGACGTTCATGCGGTTTGCTGCGACCAGCAGCTCACGGGCGTCTTCGCTGCGGGTGAACAGGATGACCACCTTGGCGTTGGACTTCTGCTGCAGGGAGCGGATCACATTTTCATAACTCCAACGGCTCATGGAGCGGCTCACCTTGGCTGAAGTGGCGATACAGATCTGGCGGGCTCGAGCCTCCTGCTGGAAGGCATCGATCCCAGTCTCACCATAGTCACCTTCTGATGCCACTGTGGACACGTACGTCCAGTTGAAGTAACGCAGGATCTCTGCCATGGCCTTGGCCTGGTAGAAATCAGGGGGCACGGTGCGGGCAAAATAGTCATAGCGGGTCTTGTCACTGAGCTTGGCACTGGTGGAAGCATAGCTGATCTGAGGGATCTGGAAGAGTCGCAGTAGGTTGGCCACCTGGAATAAAGGAAAGATGCAGTTATGTTTGTTGCTTGATTGAGTCTTCATACAATATCCATAAACCTTCATTATGGGTACTGTATATATACAGCAGATATGCATCACACTATGATATATTACTTGGAAAAGTGCTAATTAACTCATTATAGTTCACACAGAAAATACACCTGACAACTGTGGAATAGTTAATGTTTCTTTACTGGCTCCACTACATGTTTTTTCTTTGCAGATGCAATTAGTCTCACCCCATGTCTCTCATCTCTTCACTGGATCCCTGCTGGGCCTTTCACAACTTAACTCTCCTGCTGATTGAATGGTGATAAATTGCATTTAACATTTCCACGGATTGCCTGCCCACCTCATATTTTCTGATCTGTAGCGCTGTCACCAAAACCAACCAAAAAAAAACATGTACGAAGGACTGAGTGGCTACAGGTGTTAGGCACAGTGGATCGAATTTACTGTATTACAAAACGAACACGTTTCCAGAAAGTTCTTGCTCTGCTTTGAAGACAACAGAGACTGGGTGAGACGGGCTGAGGCAAGGTTTGGGAAGTGACAGAGAGTAAAAATATCAAAGAATCTTGAAACTGTGCATTTTCTGTGTAGTGCACACAGTGTGCAAAAACAGCTACTGACTAGCTTTTGCTTCAGGCACTTCTGTGGAAGCCTAAGGGGACCGAGGCTGATCAGTCAAGAAAAATGCCAACCTAAATCTGGTCGACTTTAATGTTGGCTCTCACACCAGCACACTCGTGGTGCAACATCTTGAATGCCAATGAGTCATTCCCGAGGAAGTCAGAGAGCAAAGTCATATTCATATGCATCCACTCTGAATTTATCTTTCCTCTACTGTCATTTTGCAACTGAAGTAAAAGTCTGTTTTCACATTACAAATACTACAGAGAAACTACAGTTTTGCAATGTCATGCTGTCATAGCTAAGGATTGCTTGACATTATACTGATGTTGTTGTTTGAGAAGAATGTCTTTGTGAAAAGTAGCACCAACCTTTCCAAGAAAATTCCCAAAGGCCCATGTTTTAAATAAAGAAAAGTTTGGAACTGTTGCCACCACTTTCTACAACTAATTTCATTTTTGTTTGCAGTATAGCTTTGTAATTTCAACAAAAATCCAATGAAATGCTACTGGAATATCGCTGATCATGATGCGATGCAGCGTGTGACTGTTGCTCGGACGGCACCTAATCTGTATGTGTCAAATAAATACACAGGAAATTTAAAGTGTTAATTAATAACATCGTTATTAACACATATATCAGACATTAACCACATGTACAGAAGAAAAACACACCATAGACGGACACTCCAAAAACAGGGTGGTACACTGAGACATTACAGTAAATCGAGCGTGATGTGTCTCAGTGGAATGTAATTATGGGATCGTTGTTATTCTACAGCATCAGGGAGATATTAAATATTAAATGAGCCAGTGACAGTGATTTTCAGACCGCTTGAGTTATTGGATTTAATGAGAGAACATTTCACACAAAAATGAAATGCAACAGAAAAATTAAGAGTGACCGGACGTCTTTTTTTTTCAGTGTCATACAGAGGCAATGTTGAGTTAATTTACTAGTGTGACATTGCAGCTATTTCTGAATTGTCCATGCGGTTGCAAGTGAAAAATCAAATGAAAATCTAGATTGTTGAAAAGTAAACATTTCATATCAGTTCCAAAGCTGGTTTTCCATGAAACCCTGTTTAAGGTCAGTTATGAAAGCCCCAATTATACAGAGGGGCTAATAATTACAATTCTACATTAAACTGTCTCTCTCCTTAAATTGCCTTGGCAGCCCTTCTCAGCATGTGGTGAAACAGCTGGAAGCAGTGTGCTTACCCTCACTGGAAGAAATCAGAGTATGATCCAAAGTGACATAAACACAATCTGATTAATCATTTTCACATCAGACAGTTCCTTATTCAAAACTGCAAAACTGGCTCCCCTGATCATTTTTTATGAGGGTCCATTAGAAGTTGTGTTGTTTGTTAAATATTAAGGGCAGTATCCTTCTTGCATTTTACTGTGGGAACCTTGAGTAAACTGACCTAGTCTTAGCTTTCATCCTCTCAAAAATATCACATAACAAAGAAGCATTCAAAAACTCGGAGCTGTATTTCCAGTTCTCAAGATGACGTCAGCATGTTGCTGCGTTCTCTCCATATATGAACAAAAATCAATTGTAATGGTCAATACTATGATGGAGGAATGGATGAGAATGTTGTTGTTTATTGATAAAAAATATTTCAAATCCAGAGCCCAGCAGAAAAGGAAGAAACATACATTTACACATGAATAGTCCTGTAGGTGGATCATTTAAAGCCTGTTAAATTTGGTTAGTTGGTGCCGACTGAACAGTTAGTGATTTTAAATAAGTTAATAACTACTTGTGAAACTGCTGTGATGGATGTTTTTGTTCACTTTATGGAGCGTGGTCACATTCTAGATTCCCTTGGTATGTTTTAACACAAAGGCCGTCAGAAAGGCTGACAGGGCTCCTGTAGGGAAGAAGCAGGAGGTTCTGGAGGGATTTGAATCCAGGCCAGTAAGACTACACGTGCCTGCTGAGAGTCTTCACCATCTCTGAGCACCGTCTTTCTGGACATAAAGGTGCAGAACACATGTGAGTGTGTTAACTTATCAGCAGATGTATGGACTAGACACATCCAATCGCATTCTTTTTATATATGAAACCAGGATGTAAACATTTACCTGCCCCATAAAATCGGTTTAATACTCAAGAGAGGTAGTGTTTAAATGCATTGCATCTGTACAGGGTGCCTGGCCTACTTGTAGTGATGTTATAATTCTCTATACAGGTGCAAAAGTTGTTTATTAAGCAATCAATGGTACTCATCCATTATGCTGAAATTTGGCTATGCTCACATCAGTGAATGAGTAATGTCTATGCCAGTGAGGACTTTACCAGTTTAGTAATCCACTTACATGTGGCTTATGAAAGGCTTATGAAAAGCTGTAAAGCATAGTGTGAAACATGTCTCTGATTTAATGGGCTCACTGGAAATCATTATATAGATGGTCATATGACTCATATGAACAGACAAGGCCCTTCTACCTTCCGCAGCCTGTGACTGACACACGATGAGTGTAGAGACCAGAGGGCAGAAGTGGAGAAGTGGAGCCACAAGAGGGACCATGTTATTCTTTTCAAACACTTCTGATCATTTGCAGCTGTGAAGTGAAGCACCTTTATCCAGGTAGCCCTCTGCCAGCTGGCTCCAAAAGCATATGGATTTTCAGTCAAGAATCTCAACTATGATGGGTTCAAAGGCGGGCATGAGTCCTAGAGCTTCAGATAGAAGGGACAAGAAGAGCTTGAGGAAAAATTCAGGACACCAGAAAAGCTGAGCCAACACAGGTTGAAACATGCAACACACTAAGGGCTTCTACGGCAATTTTATATCCTGCAGACATTGTTGTTCAGCATTTTGTGCTCGGAGGGGGTTGTGTCTTTGTCTTTACAGCTGCAGGTTGTGGGGAGGCGGTGGGAATGTGCTTCATCATTACAACAGAATTCAGCATGTGTGCTCAGGCACTTGTCTAGCTTATAGATAGACCTGCCTCTGCATCATTGTCACTGCTGTTGCATAGTAAATTACAGGGACTATGCATGTGTGTACATGACACATTAAGCCTTTAATTAATTTAATTATGTAGTTAATTTAGTAGGATTTGGTCCATTTAGTTGTGTCACTTTATTTTACACTTTTTAGTGTAATCATTCCACTGCTCAGGTACACAATACTGATTTATACACCTAATTTTTTTTCTTAACACTCATACACTCTCTGACAGACTTACAGACTGTTGCATAAAACAGATATCAGATGTTTGTAAGACTAAACTAAAATTATGTATTAAATAGTTTCTTGATTGCCTGACGTTAGCCAAACTGGTTGGTTTACAGTCTTTCACAGCCGTAACATTATTTAATTTAGAAAACTAAGAAGTGGCCTGGTGTGGCTTTTCACTGCTCACAGATTTGTATGTCTCACCATACCAACAGAGTGTTTATGTTTTAAAAAGAAAAATAATGGAAAGTGCAATAGAAATCCAGTTTCTCTGTTAACAATATGCTTTGATGCTTTGGTGATGCAACACATTTTATGCACGGCGTTCATTGTGTGACTGCGTTAAACGAATGAGAGGAATTTAAGAACAAGAAATGAAGAAAAGTAAGTAATATGAGAAAAGACACCACTGGAGACATAGTCAAATACCAGAGCTGGAGATGGAGAGAGTGTCTTGGTCCAGGAAATGCCAGGCCTTCTTTGTAGAGATGTTTCTTCTGCGTGAAAAGCCCATCTGCCTCACTGTGCTTCTACAGCAATAACACTGTATTCCCAGAGCAGCAGTCCTTAGCTCCACTCACTATCACACATATACGGCCCACTGCAGCGCTCTGAAACACTTCGCAAACACATACATGAGGAGCAGACACGCATGCAGTTCGAGTGTGCACTGGCTCATTATCAGTTTATTTCTTATGATTTAGTTGCTTGGCAACAGCTTTAACAGAGTGGAAGTATGAACTGTTAGATACCTAGAGCAAGGATGTTGTGTGATCAGGTCCTACCCCCTCATCCTGACGGATGAAATGAATCCGCCTTTATGCTGCAGTGGTCTTTCAGAGCCAACACAGGCAGGCAGCCATTCAGACTACATCACATGTTAAGCGGTGGCTGCACCTCCACTCATTTACAATGTTAGTAACTCAGCTTCCGTTCATTTCCCTTCAGTCTTCTGTGACTCAGTGTGTTGTCATGTCTCCACAGTCAGCTCTGTTCTATCATACTAACATTATGCAACCCAGCAAAAGCCCTAATAAGTTTTAGGTCAACTAAAACACCACAATGTGACAAAGTAAATTTCATCCTGTTATTAATACGTGATACTGGGAAACATTCAGTGAGTTTGGACATGGTATGTATTGCAGCTGCACAAACAGTGGCCACTGAAACATCCAGTCACATGAGAATCATTTACAGTTTCAGGAGCAGTTTTTTATTTTACCCATGAATTATGCATTTTCACTGCATGGCTTTATTGATACATTTCATCATTATCATGTATCCATGTTAAATCCATGGTATGACTCATGTATGCTCCAGAGACTGGCACTGTCTACCTCCAGACAAAGACAGCTCTATAAATAGAGGTGTTTGTAGACAATAGAAAATGAGATTCTTGAGATCGCAGAAGCTCATAAGTTTACCTTACTATTCTGCTCAGAGTTAAGTCAGCAATGCCAAACAGCATGTTCATATCAGGATCTGTACTTTCAAATACCTTCATCCTTGTTAGTGTGTCCTAAAATATTTCTATTAATTCTCACAAGCGTCGTTACATGGTAAAAGCTTTCATCTAAATCATAGGTTGAACATCTTTGTTTACAGATTTTCTCAAGAACATTCTTCTATATATTCCATGCTGGAGAATAGTTCTTGAATGAAGATAGGAATATTTGACAATCCAGAGGTGTTGTTTAAGTAATACACCCCAGTGACTCATATTTACCTTACTGTCGAGGTGAAAGTGAAGTCCTTTCTGTGTATTAATCACAAGCCAGCCCCAAGGCTACAATAGATGTTCCTGGACTGTAATTATAGAATATAATACATCTGTGATTAACCCACACCTTTAAGACTCTCCAGTGTTCCCTCTATAAAGCAGCTATAGCCAACTAAAATTCATACACTGGAGGAAATCTTTTATTATTAAAACATTTTTTTCTTTCAGTACGCAGTAATACTACTGAATATTGTGTATCTTGTCAGTGCTCCAGCTCTTCACACATGAATAAAGATGCTGACTGTACTGAACTTATCATTATCACTTTGCACTGGTAACCTGCTGCTTAGTCAGACAACAGGGTGGATGCTCTAGGCTAAATGCTTATATCACATAAATCATTCCAACTGTCCAGATGGCTTCACAAACATCCCTGGGAAGGTTTAAGATACAGGATTTAATTGTCAAATGATTTGATGCCATGTGACCCACTGCATCTCTTTCCTACCATGATCATATCTGCCTGTCACTGTCTCAGTGTTTCTGTGAAACATGATCACTTGTTCGATCCCTCTATATGCTCAGTGTGCACACACACCTCGGCCAAACCACCAGACAGCCCAGCTGCCGGCACAGATGGGGAAGACAGGACCTAGCCTGAGAGATCGTCATATAACATCGCCTCCACACTTAACTCAGTCTGTGCCAGTGTAACGCCAGCATGGCTAGGCCTGCAGCCAGATCCGCCCCCATATCTCAGATTGTCACACTACAACACCAGCAGCACAGACAGCAACGCACCCCCTCTTTGTGACAGATTTAGACAGCACTCAGCGTTCTCACCACTTGTCAGTTTGCCATGTAGCCATGACGATCATGATCTTTAACCTAATATTGTTAGTTGTCCTGTAAGTGCTTTACCCTTTGGGGTAAAATACACATCTGACTTAACTGCCTGATGGTGACAGAAGAATCAGGCTGACTGGAGACAGATTATGTACAAACCAACTACAGAGGACAGCAACATTATGTGAATATGGTATCTGCAGAGCAACATAGAAATGCCACATATTCTTATGGCCCCATGGGCGGAGCCAGGGGGTGGCCATGAGTGGCACCAGCTGCTCTCAGTCCTCATTCTGACTGGCCACCGCCGCCAGAGTCAAAATATGATGCTTGTCAGTATTAATTAATTAAAAATGAAAAACTATGATAAATCATTGGCTTAAATACAACTAACATTTTTCTAGTGCTTTGTAATTGATATCGAGCAAATTATTACTACTTTATATCATGCGTGCAGCATGGTATTTGCATTCATTTCTATTCATTTCTCTGTTGTTGTGCAGTACTTGGCATGATTCACTTCAGTGGGGGGAACCGCTGTGCAACAGTGATGTCCCCGGCCAGAAGTAAATAAGGAGCCAAAGTTAGCTAAAGATGGATGTTTCATTGTTACACAAAATAAACAATTTTAAAACAGTTTTAATAATGTATGGTTTATTGTTTCATAAAACTAGTTGTTTAATTGACTTTTCAAATGTGCCACCCCTCTCTGAGTCTGTGCCCCAGCCTGGCCACCCAGCCCTGTGTGGCCCAAATGCATATCTTTCTGTAAAACTGCTCTCACCAAAAGCAAAACAATAATACTATATGTAAACAAATCTACCACTTGCTTTCAAAGGGCACATCTAAGTTGCAATAAAAACCAGTGTTATGTTTTCAGAAGATATTATGAAGTGATGATGTCATTTTCCAAAGTTGCAAGTGGGTAACATACTATGAAGGTACTCCATGGACAGATTTACAGTTCCAGAGCCAGTGAGCATGGTTGTCTGCCATGATTAGATGCTCATGAAGAGCCACACCTCATAAATGAGCTGCAATACAATATCTAGAGGGTTATTCAGGATGAGAACGTGAACTGTGTCCCATGGTGCATTCCTACAGTGCTGTGGAGGGATATTCAGTGAAAAGCTGGGGCAGACCTCAGACCTCAAGCTTGTAATAGTACATCCATAAATTACCATAAGACAAGGACACTCTCTGAGGATGCAGGGTTTCATCAAAACATTACAGCTCATTTATCAAATCTGTATTTCCAAACTGCCCTTTTCACCAAGAATTCCTTTTTATAGGTGTTCTGAATCCTCCTCTTACATCATTTCCCAGGAGCGCTCTATCTGCATAATGTATCACTGTACTGTATGTTTGGTATTGTGTTTTGTCAGCAGGGTGTCCACACTTTGACCACAGTGTTTGGAATAAAAGCTGAATTGTTTGCAGAGTTGCAGTAGCCTCAGGGAATATTAAACCTATCATATTTTTTAAAGTAGCATTTACTCATTCAAATAAATGTAGATACTACTATATTTTCAACACACTGTGTGTCTACACAGCTTATATATAGACAGCATTTTCACATGTCAGCCTGAGAAAACATATATGACAGCAGGCACAGAAGCACCTATTTATTGTGGTCAGTTTCTTGTTTGCATCTCAGTGATGACATGTTGGCCCCTACTGTCTACAAATCATGGATAAACTACAGGTATGGAAGGAAGCAGCAGCAGCAGCCAATTAAGTCAGAGAAGGCAGCTAACAGCAGACTGGTATAGGCAGGGGTTCCTAGAGTACCTATGGTTTATTAACGTTCTGAGGCCATTTATTATTTCTGGATGGGCAGAAGTGTGTTCCTTTTTTCAGACAAGCAGATATCTGGAACAGGAGGGTGCTTGTCTCAAGTGAGGTGAACCGTACTCTTCAGCGGAGACAGCAGACATAGTCCTCTGGCTGACTGAGCCAGGATGATGGGTTTAAGTTAATTCTTTAAGGCGTGTTTATGTGCAGATATTTACAAAGTTCAGCTCCATGTGACACAGTATCACTGCTCACAGTTACTTGAAATTATGCTGATGTGGCAGCCATATTACTGCTGAAGATTTGGAGAACCAATTAGCAGAGCTTTCATCACATCAGCTTGAGTGAGCCCGAAAGGAGCGGCGCTGCTGAGAGTAATCATGCCATCACTAGTCATCCTGTCAGGCTGTTCCAAGCGCAACATCTGTAGCATGTCTGCCCCTGACAGGGCTACTGCTGAAGTGTGAATTATCAGGAAAGAGAAAGAGACCTTTTAAATTAGATCGACCAAGCATACGGTCATACAGGTAAACAGATCCTCCTGGCAGAACCAATACTCATTAAGTCCTCGTGTTAACATCTTTCAAGGGGTAATTGCATATGGTGCGTCTAAATGGACAGTTATATGACCTTCCATTACAATCACTTGTGTACTCCCTCCTCTCTCTAGCTCTCTCTCTCACAACCCTACAGTAGCTGCTCATAGTTAAATACACTAGGCCTGTCACAATATCAACCACGCAGTAACCTAGCTAGTTACTGCATGGTGGTCTTCTTCTTCTTTTTCCCTGGTGGGTGGCGACCAGCATTAAGGTGTAATACCTACTCGGTTGGGGTGTCAACCAAGTAGTCACTGACTCTAGATTATTTACAATATTATCATATATGTATTATTAACATGATGTCAGTATTTCATTTTTTAAATACTGTATCACGGTTATCGTGAATAGTGGTAGAGTATATTACACCACCCCTAAAATACACCTTATATAAATGCACTACCTGATAAAATTAACATATAGGAGCAGTTAATCAATTCATTTCATGGTAGAAAACATAGAGGATCTTCAACATCAAGTTACTGTATTATAGATGGTGAAGAGTCCTACCTGAATGGAGACATCACTGTAGGAGCCTCCTATGGCCCCAGAGATAGCTAGAGGGACATCATCATGGATGGCATAGGAGCCATCAGGGCATGTGTACTCGCTGTCATCCACTTTGGTGAGGGAGGCCCTAACAAACTCCAGAGACTGCTCCAGAGCGTAGGTGTCCTTAGAGCAGGTGTCCAGTATATGAGCTCCCAGTCGGATCCCAGGCAAGATGCGGTCATCCTTGTTGATTTCATCTAGTGCCAACAGCATAGCCTCCAGTCTTTGGATCCCTCTCTGAGCATTGATCTTCCCACAGTCCTCTGCCCCCTCACCCTTCTGGTGCACAGGGAACAGGCCGCCAAGCATCAAATCTCCATCCAGTGTGATCTCCCCCTTGGAGTCAGTGTTGTAACCTACCACAGGCAAACCCTGGGGAGCCTGGGCAAAGAGACACACATATAAGCACAGCAGGCCGAGGTGGGACAGCCAGATGGGTCGGGGCACAGGGCGCACCCCCAACACAGGGGATTTCCCCAATGACATATCCCTGGACGAAACAAGGTTACAGCCCCGCCTGTGGTTTCTGGTCAGTGTCCGGTCAGCTTTTGATGATTGCGGCACTGAAGAGAAGAACAGTAAGGCACGGCAGCACCAGATCTCAAAGCACTAGTGTTTTTATTCTGACAGAGGCCATTTACAGCATCAGCACCATCCTCTCCGTACTTCTCTTCTTCAGAGATTTTGTAGATTACAGCCTACAGATCAAACAGACAGACATTCAGTCACAGCCTTTGAGATGGAGCACAATGATGCCTTTGTCTCACACACATCCTGTCTGCTGGGGACTGACTTGTCTCATCGAAATATTTTACATCTTCTGCACAACTAAGTAAATATTTGCATCCTTTGATGTTTATCAGTGATAGATGTGATAAGCAGGACAGAATAAAATAAAGACTATTTATTTGATAGCAGCCACTGTGTGAGCCCATTTTGATAAGACATTTGACAAATTATGAAAACAACTGCCACTTAAAACGTTTGTGTTATGCAGATTGAATATTAGACAAGGTGTATACTATGTATCTGGAAATAATCAAGTAAGACAGACAGAGGTCAGAGTTCAATGATGGCATCACAAAAGTCCCCCAAATGGCTTTCTCCTGTTTTCAAGCATAACATCGCCAGTTCCTCATTGTGAGATTCATCGCTGAGTGTGTTTATATTTTTGAACTTTTCATCTCTCCACCTGTTTCATTGTCTGTCTGACCTCATGTACAACTCACTTCTAATCAGATGTGCACATGGTCCAGTATCCACAATCAAGTAAAAGGAGATAACATACTAAAATTTATTTCAATCATACAAATTCATTTTGTTCCAACAGACTGATTTAGTCTGATTTCATCTTGTTACATGTGTTCTGTTGTCTGTACATTGTTTATTTTGAATACAAAGAGAGATGCAACTTCAAAATAACATGAGCTTTTCCCTTTTCTGGCTAAAAGTCATGTTATGAAGAGAGGGGTGACTCATGCCTGAGAAAAAAAGATTCAGTGGGCTTTTTTTAAATGTTGTTGGAAAACACTGCAACTTCAATTTAGGAGTTAAGGTCTGTCCTTGAAGTTTAAAGGCATTCACTGTATGTGTTTGTTTAAACTAGTAATAATGAACTAATGAATAAACTAATAATAATGATGACTAATCATGATTGATCTGCCAAAGCAGAGGTTATAGGGACACCTACAAAATTGATTCCTTGAAGCAAGAAGAAAAGAAATAAAAACAACTTCTGTGATATCGAGCTTCTCCTTTTTTCTTTACAGAGCGACGGATCTGTTCCACAGTACTAGCAATTCATTAAAAAAAATGGTTAAACATTTTGGAAAATGTGCTTTTTCATTTCTTTGCAGTGAGTTAGATGAAAAAATCAATACAAACTCATAATAATATGTTAAATATGAACCTACAGTAAGGAGATAATTAGCTTAGCTTGGAATATCTTAGCATAATGACTGGACGCAGAGGGAGACATCTACCCCTATACTGTATATTAAACTTGGACAGAGCTGGGCCAGATTTTTTCTCCTCTCCAGTCTTTGTGCTAAGCTAAGCTAACCAGCTGCTGACTGTAGCTTTAATGGACAGGCATGAGGGTGATACTAATCTTCTCACTTAGCTTCTCAGCATGAAAGCAAATAAATGTATTTCCCAAAATGCTGAAGTATTACTAACTAAGAACTCTACAGATGGGTGACAAATGGAAGGACAAACCAACAAAATGTCTCAGTAAGGTGCTAGGCCTCCAGAACAGCTTCAGTGCAATCTGGCATTGATTCTCTGGACTCTACTGGATGGATGGATGCCATTTTTCCAAAAGATATTCCCTCATTTAGTGTTTTGATGATCTTGATGGAGACGCTGGCTAACACGTCAGTCCAAAACCTCCGATAGGTGTTAAACTGGGTTGAGATCTGGTGACTGTGAAGGCCACAGCATATGATTCACACCATTTTCACACTGATCACCTCATTTATTCAGGTTTTTCCTTACTTTGTCACCCTTCTGTATAAGTTAGATTACTGATAAGTTTGATTACATTAAATATTTCAGCTGTAGCGTACAGTTACCGTGCTGCACCACATTCTGATTTAATGTGACAATTCCATGTAAGGAGTAAAAGCTGATCGAGCTCATGTCTGCATTGGCAACAGAAGAGGCATAGGGTTATTACTCAGTCCTGGTGTCAGTCTCCACAAATCTCAGTGGCTTAATTAAGCAGGGGGTTGAGTGTGGAAAAAGTTTATCAGAGTAAATCACTGAGCCAGAATGATCTGTCTCATATCCATTATCTCAACAAGTCAAGTAGGATGACAAGCAGTAATTACCTGTATTTATGGGAGATTATGAAAACAGAGCAGGGGGATATTAATCCTTGCATTTCCCTCTTTCTGTTGCAAAATACTAACTTACATATTACAAGAATATAAAGTTCTTAACAGGAGTCAGACTGCAGATCCTGTTCTTTGGGGGGTTATGTTTCTCTCTCTCTCTCTCTCTCTCTCTCTCTCTCTGCTGTTTCCATGGAAACTTGCCAGTAGATGGTGAGGGTGACAAGTGGGCCAGTCTGACCATGCATGGTGCAAGGTCCTGTGGGAGAACTGGGAAGCCTGCATTGTGAACTGACCAAACTGATCAAACTTCAGCCAGAGCTTTTCATAAACTCAAGTGAAACCCAACTAAAACAACACCTGGATGATTTAAGCTTCTGTTTCAGATAACAAATATGTTTAGATATGGCTTTAATATGTTGTCTTTTATCCATGACTATTAGTTGTCTAGTAGTGGTATAATAAAGTATTACTGCTGCATACTGTGGATGCTGCAAGGTACAAACACTGAAGCCTTTTTTAATAATAAATAGAGTTTGATATGTTGCATTACATTTGATGAACTATCAGTGAAACTTAAAAGGCCCTTTATTTATCATATTTCCTTTGGCTCCCTCTGCAGCTTGTCAGCAGGTGAAAGTCCATTACACTTTATGTGTATGGGTAACCACAGACAAATGAAGGAAACTGTGCATAACAAGAATATTTTAGTGTTTGTGGAGTGTGCAGCTCTGCAGAGTGTGATCATTTGTCATCATAAATGTCCAAAAGGTGAAGGAGACTAAGCCTGGACAGTGTACTGACTAAATATAAATATTTTAAAATAGGATTCTGCAGTGAAAGACATCTGGGCAGTAACACTGGTAAAGCACTTAAAAACACAACCTCAAGCGAGAATAGCAACAAAAGAGTTTTTGGCTGACACACTGTCAGTCAGTCATACACTCCCACAGGAGGTTTCCATCTCAGTCGTGGACTCTGTCTCTCCCTGACTTTATTCACTACACTAATATCACACCTATTATGACAGCATAGATCTTCCTTAATCTCCACATCTCCTCTACATGCCTGTATGGATTAAGCAAACTGAATATAACAAGGTGGTAGGTGGATACTCTTACCTTTGGACTGAGCCATGCTAACCGATTCCCTCTATTTACAGTCTTTGTGCTAAGCTAAGCTAAAAGCCGCTGGTGCTAGCTTTGTATTTAGCATAGGCCACATGAGGGTGGTATCAATCCATTCATTTAACTCTTGGCAAGACAGCAAATAACAGTATTTCTCAATATGTACATCTATGCCTCCAAGAGACATGTAGACTCGTGCCTATATGAGAATGGTGATGATAATTTAAGGCTGTGGGTTCCAGTATCTCAAACCCTGGAGAATTCTCGACTTTTGGATCAATGTTGAGTATTCTCTTTGTAACACATAGATTAAATACATAGGATACAAATCCAAAATACCATGAGTACGTATAAAAATCGCTAAAAGCAATATTTACACTTTAGATGTGATTCCCCCTCCCCGTACATGTCTACACATTAACTTCAAAGGAAAACCATGCCTATCATGTTTCCTCTCTCCTCCTATACAGCCATCTCTGTTTCCCTCTTCACCAGATGGCCTTTTTAATTCAAGAGCGCAAAGCCTGCCAGCCTCTTACACACTTCAAACCAGACTGTGTGAAGGAATGGGAGGAGTTGATGGAGGCCGAAAAAAAATACAAGAAAAGAAAGCAGATGTGAGAGGGCAAAAAAAAAAAGGGCTGTGTGGGCAGCGGTGAAAGAGGGATAAGGCTGGCGTTTGAGGAAGACGCTATCCAGGCTGATTTTTTTATGACAATCATCCACCCCAGCAGGGGAGAGTGGCATTAATATGGTAATATTCCCCTAGGCAATAGCAAGTGTTGAAGAGTGGAGGTCATCTTCTGTATATGCAGCACTGAGCCTGGATGAGCAGGCTGGAGATCCCCAATGGAATGACTTTGAGTCTGACTAAGAGGAAGCAAAGGCAATGGGAGTCAGGCTTCCCTAAAAATCTCATTTCCAGCTGACAAAGAGAATGGTCCTGGGTGGGGGAAGAATGGAGAGGTCTGCTAATGTGAAAGAGGCACAAACATTACATGAAGCTCAAATCCTGGAAGCGCCTGTGACAAGTAAAACTCTAATAGTTTATTTTTTATGCCTCCGCGCCAGCGATAGCCGTGGCTGGAGGTATTATGTTTTTAGGTTGTCCGTCTGTCCATGCGGCCTATCCTTGTGAACGCAATACCTCAGAAACGTCTTGAGGGAATCTCTTCAAATTTGGCACAAGTGTCCACTTGGACTCAGAGAGGAACTGATTAGATGTAGATGGTCAAAGGCCAAGATCAGTGACCTCACTTTTGTCCCATACCTGTGAATTACACATTAAAGTACAGTATAAGGTTGGAAACAATCCTTAATGTCATCAAAAAAAAAAAAGACCAAAACCAACAGTAAATCAATAAATTGTCCCCACTGCTAAGTATTTACTTACTAGTTTATTCCTCTGTGCCACAGACCTCCATTATTCCCCAAACTACTAAAAACACTGATGAAGAACACCTGCTTCATGGTTATAGTGCATATAACCTCAGGGCGTGTGGTCTGAGTCTGCACCTCCTTCTCCTCTTATTTCCTCTCTTCACTGTCAACTACCCAGTAAATGTAAAAAAGAAACAAAGCCTGCTGATGAGCCTGCTGTCATGTTGCTGCAAATTCACCAACTGGTACAAAAATTGATTTATGGCTAAAACAATAGTTCCCTGCAAATGCACCATTTACTCCTGTTTGAGCAACATTTGCCAAAAATTGTATTTGCCTGCTTTCAGACATTATGGAGCCTTTTATTTAAAAATGAATAAATATATTTGTGAGGGAAATAAAGTCAGAAAACACTGAGAGACAAACTAACATGTTGTTGCTTTGGTCTTTTTTTTTGCATCTAACTAACCAGTGGAGTAGCAAATTGGTTCCTCCACTAGCTGTAGAAAAGTTACATCTGAATAAAACATCCGATTCTCCTGACACATGACTCACAGGACAAAACAACAAACCATAATGTGTTTTGCATCTTGGTTTTGGCCTGATCTCCACTGGGATTAATGGAGACACGAATCAGATCCAGTTCCTGAAAACTGGTCTGAAAACTGCAGTGTCTTTTAGGCCATTTGAAGTTCTCATTGTTCACCATCTTTCATTTACAGCCTCATCAGCTTCTAAGCTGCATTTTCACCTGTTACCAATGTGTCTGTGACAGATAAGATATTTACAGGAAATACAGCGGGAATTATCTCTGAATCGCTTGGAAGAAACTGTGCATTTTCAATTAATGTTGCAAAGAGGATTGATGGGATCAAACACTGAAGTTACATCAGTAACACTGTCAAATGTCTCCCAAAAATACAAAACCTGACCTTTTCTGATAAGGTCATCTATACAATTAGCCACTGGAGAGTGAGAGCTCTTGAACTCTAAATATCAGCTGTGAGATTTTCAAGGCTTTTTCTGAATAGAAGCTACTGCAATTAAGATGACGTGAATCAGCTCAGGCGCTCCAGGCATCACTTACACACCTGTGTGCTTACAGAAAAGGAAAACAAACCTGGTCTTCCAAATATCAAACAATCCACTCGTATGTATGCTTGTATGCTTCTGTTTTATAAACAGCTTGCCCCATCTTTCAGTGCTGACTGTTCTGCACCTCCCCCACATCCATCTCCTCCCTCCACCTGTACAGGGGGAATCCCGTGCATGTGTTCAACAGCCCCTTTGCCTCCAGGGAGCACAATTCTGCCTCCCTAATCAAACATTCATCAGCTCTCTCAGTCTCTCAGAGATCATTACTACCAGACCTATGACTGGCCCTTAACTCCATGATGGATTTATAGTGCTTTTGTTTCATAGGTTTTATTGTATCTTTGCATTATTTATCATTACGCTACTACACTGTTAGAAAAACGTGGCCTGAGACATCAGGATCTTTTGGACATTCATTCAAAGGACTTGTCCTGGATTAACAACTGATATTAGTGAGGACATTTACATTACATGGAAAAAAATGACAGCTCACATTCAGTTTTTATGTTTTTAAATGCCATCATTTGTATGAAACTAAAAAAAATCCCAGAGCAGTTAGGATTTTTTGGCAAAATGAGACTTTCACTGCATTCAGACTAGTTGTGATATATTTCTGGGGAATACCAACATATATGTTATGGTATTTCCAACTTTATTTCACTTCTGGGGTTTTTGTTTCATTTTTACTCAGCTATCAACTATTCAGCAACACTAAAATCAATCATTTCTGATCACATGATTAAAAACCTCTTGATCATGAATATCCGTCAAAGCTTCCAAAACTGATTTAAATTTAGGTTGTTTCTCTAAAATATTAAATAATTGTTAGTAGATAAACAACAATCAACATTCAAGTTTGCTTATTTGCTTCATCAGGGCCATGGGTGTAGCATCATTCATTATGACTGACACTGGCTTGAAAACACAAGCCAGCTGCCGTCACATTTTGATTCAGATGCTGTTAAATCCCGATCATCACACTTTTGTTGCTGCGACATCACATTTTGTCAGCTGAGTCCCTGCCCCTTCAAACCAACAACAGGACTACAGGCAAAAGTGCAAATACAGAAATCTCTCAAACAATAAATTAAATAACCAATTCATTCTAACTGTGCAGAAAATTATCCACATAGACACTGCACATCGTTTTTTTTTTTTTCAACCAAAGCTGTTCTAATTTTTTGCATTTTCTACTTCATTTCAAGTGAAAACAATTTTTAATCTTATAACATAATCATATGGCAAAACACTCAACATCAGCCTGATACTTACAATTACACAGAGGAGCTCAAAGCCCACAGCTATGACCACTTCTCACCAGCATGCCAACACAAATGAGCAGCTACACTTGAATGCAGTGGGCACCTTTCATGGACCCTAAAATTAGCTAAAATTAAACAATCGGAGTGCTTCAGTCACGCCCACTGAGCTGCTCACAGCTTGTAGAGAATTTGTTAAGGACTCACAAGGAGGTGCTGCACCATATTATAAAGGAAACAAAAACGAAAATGGTTTGGGAACCACCACCCTAATGCATTAATACTGAGTCTCAAACATTCAGTTTTAGGACCATTTAACTGGCCGTATAATCCACTGAAGCCACTGTTAATGTTTCAGGACACCTGGTAACAATACATTAGCAGCATTAGACATACTGTAAAGAGAGCTCATCTGGCTGGACCCTCCTCCACTGGCTTAACAGATCTTGCCAAGCAACTGCCTGTGCGTCTTTGTGCCCCAAATAGCCTAAATTAATGGCAACTACTGTTTGAATTAGTAGCTTTGGACAAGTCTTTGCGGGCCTGGACATGTGCTGAAACCAGACAGCCACGTTTATTCCACAGATGTGAAACTAACTTTTTGTAGCCATATTCTTTCCCCCCTTATAATAAATTAAGTGACCTTTTCAGTAACAGTTGCAAGTAGAAGAAATAAACATTACTTCATTTTTGCTCACAATGGAAATGGTTGATGTACAGTAGCACACCTACTGTAAGTCTCATGTAAGAACCTCACACATACAGTAGATAAAGAATGTAACTCAGGACTGAGCCATTTGCAGTGGAGCAGTTAATTTTAATCAGAGTCATGTACACATCATTAATTAACTAGAAGCTTTTCCTTGCATTCACTCCAGTAAGTCTGGATTTAAATCATTCTATTTGAGTATGAATTTACTGAAGGTTGTTGTGCTATTTTACTACGATTTTATCATTTTATCAAGACTATGTCATCAGTGAATAGGAGGCTGATGTTTTTAGGTTCCCTCAGTGGGTGTGTATGAGCTGAAAGGAAATGTGTATCTATATGAATGTATTATATGTATATA